AGCCATTTTTCTTTTACTGCTGTTATCTACTCTTCCCTTTCAGCTTATAGATTCTACTTGCTTTATATTTGCATCTCTGGAGTGTAAAGAACACAGTGCGTTTCTAAAGTTCAATTACTGTATAAATTTGATAAAACCCTCTGAATTTTTAAAGCTACACTTGAGTTCTATAGTAGTTTTAATGTGTGCTGTATAGAAAGCAGGAGCCCTGCCAGAGAGATAAATGATTGAATTAGGGATTCAAATCAGAGTTTCTCCTGGCTATGGTGTTTCAGTAATTTCAAAAAGAGATTTCAAATAGCTTAGATTCAGTAGGATTAAATGAAGATATTGAAAGTTAAAACATAGGATGGACTTAGAAAAAAAGAAATCTGAATCATCAACATTTCTATTTCCTTTATTTTAAAGGTTCTTCAGGTAGAGACACCCAGAGGGGAGGTATGTTTTACAGTTCAAGACCTGAAATTAAAAGAGCAATGGAACTGGCAGATGCTGCTATGAGAAAGGATAAAAGTGAACGACTAGGTCTAGCTGTGTGTGACAAACCTTCAGAAAGTGAAGAAGAGGAGGAAGAAGAAATGGAGGTAATTTTTTTTTCAATTGTAGCTTTCAGAAATATTAGGAGAAATATTTTTTCTTCATTTCTCAGGATACATTTTTATGTGAATGCATCTGTGTCTTTTTAAAAAAATAAAAGTTTCACAAAGTCCTCTATCAATGGAACGCTGAGTTCCTTTCTAAACAAAAAATAAAACATAATATCTAATCAATTCAGTTAAAAGAATCAAATTGAATTCCCTGTGAAAACATCAATACATCCCCTACACTTGCTTGGGATCCAATTAGGCATCTGTAGGAAAGCAGGTCTCTTGAAGAAAGTCCGGTAGATAAATTATTTTATCTTTTGAGCTTCATATTTATTATTTAAGTTGAGATTGGATATGATTGATTGGTTAATGTAGAAAAATGTGGGCTGTTATCTTAGACTGATAAAGCTGTATAGTTTTCCTTTATTGGTTATACATTTGTCTTAGCAAGTAAAGAACATTGATCCACTCATTTGTTTACAAATAGGAGATTGGGGAAAGGATCAAGTTTTTGCAAGTTGCAAAGTTGAAGTATTAGATTGCTAATTATCGGCTTGTCTTTAAAATATCTCTTTTTTATATTTCTTGGTTTTTTCCCCTTAAGCAGATGAGTGATGAAGGCGATGATTTCGACACAGAAGTAAAAAGTAGAAATAAAAGGATAGCTAGACGAAAGCATTCTGATGGAAAAGCCAAAAAAAGAAAGATTTTCATAGATTCAGGCACAGAAAATGAGGGTTCGGATATGGAATTTCAGCCAGATGAAGTTAGCAGTGATGAAAATAGTATTGAAATATGTGACAATGAAACTTCTGAATCTGAAACTGTCCCTCAAAAGAAGAATTCTGTTAAAGTACTTACTAAACATTCTCCTAAACAAATGCAGGACAAGGCATGTAAATCCACCCAAGAGGCTAATCTTAAAAACAACCTCTCTGATACACCCAATAGGGAATTCTATCCTGACTTCATGCAAAAATTAGCATCTTATGCTGCTCCTGAAAGTTTTGATTTTCGGCCAAGCATTAATGGAGGAGGAGCCGGAGGGGGTGGAGGAGATGGTAATCCAACCGTATGGGAGCATGAAAAAATAGATTGGCTTCAGGATGGCAAAAGGAAGGATGGTCATAGAAGACGACAAAATGATCCAGATTACGACCCAAGTACTTTATTTGTGCCAGAGGATTATCTTAAAAACTGCACTCCAGGAATGCGGAAATGGTGGGAGTTGAAGAGTCAAAATTTTGATGGTGTGATTTTTTATAAAGTTGGAAAATTTTATGAATTATATCATATGGATGCTGTTGTTGGTGTAAATAAGCTTGGATTGGTATTTATGAAAGGCACTTGGGCTCACTCAGGTTTTCCAGAAATGGCATTTGATAGATTTGCCAATGTCTTAATCCAAAAAGGTCATAAAGTTGTACGAGTCGAGCAGATGGAGACTCCCGAGATGATGGAAGCACGGTGTAAATCTTTGGCGCACCCAACAAGGTTTGACAGAGTTGTGCGCCGAGAAATATGCAGGATAATTTCCAAAGGCACACAGACCTACAATATTCTTGATGGTGACTATTCAGAGACCCACAACAAATACCTTCTTTGCATAAAAGAAAAAACAGATGATTCTGTTGGCTTGCATCGTACTTACGGAGTTTGCTTTGTTGATACAACAGTTGGGAAGTTTTATATTGGCCAGTTTCCAGATGACCGTCATTGTTCTAGGTTTAGAACACTTCTGGCTCATTATACTCCTGTACAGATACTTTTTGAGAGAGGAAACCCCTCTGCAGAAACACAAAAGATACTTAAAGGCTTAATCTCTTTTACTATTCAAGAAAGCTTGACTCCTGGTTCTCAGTTCTGGAATGCATCTAAAACTTTAAAAACTCTCATTGAAGAAGATTATTTTCAGAACAAAGAGAATACAAATAGTGGAATCACTCTGCCCCCAGTAATCAGATCCATGACTGCAGAAAATGATTCACTTGGACTTACTCCTGCAGAAAACAGTGAACTTGCTCTCTCTGCTCTAGGCAGTTGTGTATTCTACCTTAAAAAATGTATAATTGACAAGGAACTTCTATCAATGGCAAATTTTGAAGAATACATTCCTGTGGATGTTGATATAGTTAACAGAACCAGATCAAGTAGTGTGTTTGAGAAAACAAACCAGCGCATGGTATTAGATGGGGTAACACTAGCAAACTTGGAAATACTGCAGAATGCAACCAGGAGTTCAATAGAGGGCACATTATTAGAAAAAATTGACACTTGTTGTACACCTTTTGGAAGAAGACTCCTGAAGCAATGGCTTTGTGCACCATTATGTAATCCTTGTGCCATTAACGATCGCCTGGATGCAGTTGAAGATCTCCTAGCTGAGGCTGCTAAAATGTCTGATATCCGTGATCGTCTCAAAAAGCTCCCAGATCTTGAAAGGCTTTTGAGCAAAATTCACAGTATTGGATCTTCTCTTAAGAACAATAGCCATCCAGACAATAAGGCTATTTTATATGAGGAGGCTAGGTACAGCAAGAAAAAGATTATAGATTTCTTGTCTGTACTGGAAGGATTTAACATAATAATTGACATTATCTCAATGTTGGAAGATACTGTTGGTGGCTTTAAGTCTAAAATACTAAAACAAATAACAACCGTGAAATCAAAAAATCCAGCAGGCTGCTTCCCAGACTTGAAAGCAGAACTTGAAAGATGGGAATCTGCCTTTGATCATACCGTAGCACGGAGGACAGGTGTGGTTAATCCAAGAACTGGTTTTGATTCCGATTACGATGAAGCTTTAGCAAATATCAATGAAATTGAGGAAAACCTTCGTCAGTATTTGGAAAAACAACGCAAAATACTTGGTGTCAGAGCCGTGATGTATTGGGGAGCCGGCAGAAACCGTTACCAAATGGAGATTGCAGAAACTGCTGTGCCTCAGGATTTGCCTGATGAATATATCATGAAGTCCAGTAGAAAGGGCTATAAACGTTACTGGACAAAAGACATAGAGAAGATGTTAAATGAAATTATCAGTGCTGAAGAACGGAGAGATTCAGCACAAAAAGATTGCATGAAAAGATTATTCTATGACTTCGATAAAACCAGAAAAGATTGGCAATCTGCGGTGGAATGCATTGCTGTTCTAGGTAAGTTGTCTTCTGTGTAGAAGTAGAATCATATTGGCAGATCGATGTAACTTTGATTGGGACTATCCAAAAGTGCTCACGGGATTATTTATTAAGAAAAAATAATCATACAATTACGCTGAGTTTGTTTGGTTTTTTATTGTAATATCTCAGCCATCAAGGTAACCGTTATATGTTCTGCATAGCTTTGAAACTACTTCAGCTGTGGAGTCTCAGATACAAAAGTTTAAGCTATATGACATAAATTTTCATCAAAGTGCTACAGTACTGTGCAAAAGTTTTAGGCAGGTGGGAAAAAATGCTGTAAACAAAGAATGCTTTCAAAAATGGAAGTGTTAAACATTTATGTTCATAAATGAACAAAACGCAGTGAATGAACAAAACATAGGAANAAGGTGCACACATGCAGTGGAACTGAGCAGGGGCGATGACTGGCATGCCCACAGAGAAGGCTCTGTGTGCCACCTGTGCCACAGGTTCGCCATCACAGGTACAGGGTCTCTTGCTCAAGCAGGGGGTTGGAGAGGAAGACCTCCAAGCTCCCTTCCTACTCCATTATTCTATGTTCTAGGTGCAGTTCAATCAAAGCAGAACAGAGATCTTGACAATAGCATCCCAATGCTATAAGCTAAAATTCATTTCTATTCCATTTGCAACTGCATCATAATGTTGGTTCAGGTTTCAGTTTGCGATTCCCCAACAGACTGAAATACTTTTCACATCCATACATGTACATACTGTTGCCCAGTCTGGTCTCACTTGCCTGTGAAGCACCAGCTCCAAAAAGCTGACGCAACCTCTACAGCAACCTTCTGCTTGAGGATGGTGTCAGAGAGAAAGTCTGGTCTGAGAGACGGCAGGAGACTTTACAGAGCTCGGAGCTGAAAGTCTACAGATGGATTGGCAAGCAGGTAGCAAGATTATGAGTCACTTATGAGTCACAGACAAGGAAAGGGGCTATAATTCAACTCCTTGCCTGAAAGACTACCGGTATTCCTTTGCTTACGAGCGCCATTGAGCGCAATGTTGCTGAGCAAAACATTTGTTAAGTGAGTTTTGCTCCATTTTACAACCTTTCTTGCAACAGTTGTTAACTGAATCACCACAGTTGTTAAATCAATATCAGGGTTGTTAAGAGAATCTGGCTTCTCCATTGACCGCTTGTCAGAAGGTCGTAAACATGAACCCAGGACACTGCAGCCATCATAAATGCGAGTCAGTTGCCAAGCGTCTGAATTTTGATCACGTGGGATCAGAATTTCTGTTTCTTAGCAAGGTGATTGTTAAACAAGTTAGGCCCAATTTTACAACCTTTTTTTGACCACGGTTGTTCAGTGAATCATGCGATCATTAAGGGACTCATGCTTCCCCCCCTTACTTTGTCATAAGATGGCTGGCAAGGTCTCAAATATGATCCCAGGACACCACAACCATCATGAATACATGCCATTTGTTTGCTTGTTTTAAATTTCTTTAGTTAATACTAGTTGATAACCTGGCATTGCCAGGGTATTTATTTATCCTAATGCATACATTTGTCCTCAAAAATAATCCTGGACTAAATGTAATTTCTAATGTTGGATTTTCCCCCTTGCCAGACGGAGCCAACCTTGTGGAGTACTGTGAAGCTGTTACCATGGCAACTCAACTGCGCTATACAGTAGAAGCCGTTTTACGGCACAACTGACTGTATCTTAACAGAACACAGACCCCGAGGGGTGTTAGAGGTGCCTTACCCCCAAAGTATTTGTTTCCAGAGAGTAAGTCATCTGTGTAGCAAGTTTCATTGAAATTGCTTGAGGCATTCCAGAGTTATGCTGGAACATACACATACATGCACACACGCACACACACACACACACACGCGCGCGCGCGCACACACACACACACACACACACACACACACACACACACACACACACACACACACAC